ATGTTTTTCATATAACGACTTCTTTCCTCTGAGTAGATAACTAGTAGTGGGGTTGCTGGATCAAGTGGTAGTTCTACTCTTAGTTCTTTAAGGGATCTCCACACTGTTTCATAGTAGTTGCACTAGTTTACATTCCCACCAGCAGTGTAGAAGTGTACCCTGTTCACTGCATCCATGCCAACATCTATTATTTTTTTATTATGGCCATTCTTGCAGGAGTAAGGTGGTATCACATTGTGGCTTTGAGTTGCATTTCCCTGATCATTACTGTTATTGAGCATTTTTTCATGATTGTTGGCCATTTTTATATCTTCTTTTGAGAATTGTCTATTCATGTCCTTAGCTCAGTTTTTGACAGGATTGTTTGTTTATTCCTGCGAATTTGTTTGTTTGTTGCAGATTCTGGATATTAGTCCTTTGTCAGATGTATAGATTGTGAAGATTTTCTCCCACTCTGTGGGTTTTCTGCTTGTACTGCTGACTGTTCCTTTGCCATGCAAAAGTTCTTTAATTAAGTCCCAGCTATTTTTGTTTTTATTGCATTTGCTTTTGGGTTCTTGGTCATGAAATCCTTGCCTAAACCAATGTCTAGAAGGGTTTTTCCGATGTTATCTTCTAAAATGTTTATAGTTTCAGGCCTTAGGTCTAAGTCCTCGATCCATCTTGAGTTGATTTTTGTATAAGGTGAGAGATGAGGATCCAGTTTCATTCTCATGCATGTGCTTGTCAATTATCACAGTACCATATATGGAATACAGTGTCCTTTCCCTACTTTATGCTTTGATTTGCTTTGTGGAAGATCAGTTGGCTGTAAGTATTTCGGTTTATTTCCGGGTTTTCTAATCTGTTTCATTGGTTTATGGGCCTATTTTTATACGAGTATCATGCTGTTTTGGTGACTATGGTCTTATAGTATAGTTTGAAAACAGGTAATGTGATGCCTCAAGATTTGTTCTTTTTGCTTAGTTTTGTTTTTTCTATGTGTGCTCTTTTCTGGTTCCATATGAATTTTAGGATTTTTTTTTCTATTTCTGTGAAGAATGATAGGAATTACGCTGCATTTGTAGATTGCTTTTGGCAGTATGGTCATTTTCGAAATAATGATTCTGCCAATCCATGTTAATGGGATGTGTCTTCATTTGTTGTTACTATGATTTCTTTCAGCAGCGTTTTGTAGTTTTTCTTGTAGAGGTCTTTCACCTCCTTGGTTAGGTATAGTCTTAAGTATTCTATTTATTTATATATGTATATTTTTGCAGCTATTGTAAAAGGGGTTGAGTTCTTGATTTGACTCTCAGCTTGGTTGCTGTTAGTTTATAGAAGAGCTACTGATTTGTGTACATTAATTTTGTATCCTGAAACTTTGCTGAATTCATCAGTTCTAGGAGCTTTCTGAAGGAGTAGTTAGGGTTTCTAGGTAAACAGTCATATCATCAGTAAACAGCTACAGTTTGACATCCTCTTTACCAATTCGAATGCCCTTTATTTCTTGCTCTCATCCCATTGTTCTGGCTAGGACTTCCAGTACTGTGTTGAAGAAAAGTGCTGAGTGATCATACTTGTCTTGTTCCAGTTCTCAGAGGGAATACTTTCAACTTTTCCTCATTCAGTATTATGTTGGCTATGGGTTTCTCATAGATGGCTTTTATTACATTGAGGTATGTCCCTTGTATGCCAATTTTCATGAGAAATTTAATCATAAAGGGATGCTTCATTTTGTCCAGTGCTTTTTCTGCATTTATTGAGATAATCATATGATTTTTGTTTTTAATTCTGTTTAATTGGTGATCATATTTATTGACTTGCATATGTTAAACCATCCCTGCATCCCCGGTATGAAACCCACTTGATCATGGTGGATTATCTTTATGATATATTGTTGGATTAGGTTAGTTAGTATTTTGTTAAGGATTTTTGCATCTATGTTCATAAGGGATATTGGTCTGTAGTTTTTTGTTGCTGTTGTTGGTATGTCCTTTCCTGGATTTGGTGTTAGGGTAATACTGGCTTTAGAGAATGATTTACGGAGGGTTCTCTCTTAATCTTGTGGAATCATGTCAATAAGTCTAGTAGAATTCAGCTGTGAATCTGTCTGGTCCTGGACTTTTTTTGTTGAAAAATTTTTTTATTACTATTTCAATCTTGCTGCTTGTTATTGGTCTGTTCAGGATATGTAATTCTTCCTGATTCAAGCTAGAAGGGTTGTACCTTTCCAGAAATTTATCCTCTAGGTTTTCTAGTCTATGTGTATAAAGGTGTTCATGATAGCCTTAAATGATCTTTTGTAATTTGGTGGTATCATTTGTAATATCTCTTATTTTGTTTCTAATTGAGCTTATTTGGATTTTCTCTCTCCTTTTCATCATTAATCTTGCTAATGGTCTATCAATTTTAGTTATCTTTTCAAAGAACCAGCCTTTTGTTTCATTTACTTTTTGTATTTTGTTTGTTAGTTTGTTTCAATTTCAATTAGTTCTGCTCTGATCTTGGTTATTTCCTTTCTCCTAGTGGGTTTGGGTTTGGTTTGTTCTTGTTTCTCTCGTTTCTTGAGATGTGACCTTAGATTGTCTGTTTATGCTCCATCAGACTTTTTGATTTAGGCATTTAGGGCTATGAACTTTCCTCTTAGCACGACCTTTGCTGTATCCCAGAGGATTTGATAAGCTGTGTCACTATTGTCATTCAGCTCAAAGAATTTTTAAATTTCCATTTTGATTTCATTTTTGACCCAATGATTATTCAGAAGTAGTTTATTCAATTTCCATGTATTTTCATGGTTTTGAAGGCTCCTTTTAGAGCTGATTTCCAGTTTTATTTCACTGTGGCCTGAGAAAGTCTTTGATATAATTTCAATTTTTTAAAATTTATTGAGGCTTGTTTTGTGGCCTATTATATGGCCTGGCTTGGAGAAAGTTCCATGTGCTGATGAATAGAATGTATATTTTGCAGTTTTGAGCAGAACGTTCTGTAAATATTGTTAGATCCAATGGTTCCAGGGTGTAGTTTAAATCCATTGTTTCTTTGTTGCCATGACCTGTGTAGTGCTGTCAGTGAAGTATTGAAATCCTCCGCTATTTTTGCATTGCTGTCTGTCTCATTTCTTAGATCTAGTAGTAATTGTTTTATAAATTTGGAAGCTCTAGTGTTAGGTGCATATATATTTAGAATTGTGATATTTTCCTGTTGAACAAGGCCTTTTTAAAAATTGTATTGAAATTTGAAAATTGAAATTATATAACATACCTCTTTGTCTTTTTTAACCTCCTCTCCTTACTTCCTCTTTCTCTATCAGTAGATGATAAAGCAGGGTCTATTTCAGACTCAATTAAAAATCATGAAAAAGATTTTTAAGATCTCAGGCTGGATGGCTGATGCAGCAAGGAAAAATAGGAAGTCTTCAATGCTGTAAGTAGAAGTAAACTGCATTTACTGAGGCCTCTGTTTTTAGAAAGACTTTGGATGTAGTTGCAGGATACAAGAATCTTATAATTTGATGTACAGTGGCTTCATATTTGAACTGTGTCAATATTCACAAACTCTACTGCCATACCATTTAGTAATTTTTCTGATAAAGGCTTTTAGCTGTCAAATATTACCCTGACTTGTCGCTTGGCTCCAAGTTTTAGTAGCTACGCTGTGAAATGTGGATTTCAGGTAGACCATCTCACTAATTATGGCATTCACTGATAACTACATACATAGACATATAACTAGAACAGGGATCTGTATCTTTATCAATGATAAAGATTATCTATTGCAGCCTGGGCAACAAAGTAAGACTGTATCTCTACAAATAATAATAATAATAATAATAAGCTGGGTGTGGTGGCATGTGCCTGTAATTCCAGCTACTTGGGAGGTTGAGGTGGAAGGATCACTTGAGCTCAGGAGACTGAGGCTTGCAGTTAGCTATGTTTGTACCACTGCACTCAGCCTGAATGACAGCGTGAGACCCTGTGGTACTCGAGAGGCTGAGGCAAGAGAATTGCTTGAACCTGGGAGGCAGAGATTGCAGTGAGCCGAGATGGGACCACTGCACTCCAGCCTGGGAGACAGAGCGAGACTCTGTCTCAAAAAAATAAAAAAAAAGAAAAGGAAAAAAGATTATCAATTGATAACAAAAACTAACATAGCCTCTCTCTGACATAACTTTTTAAAAAACCTTTTTACTTTGGAAACAATTTTAGATATGAAAACTACAGTGTCTGGGGTAAAAATACACTGGATGGGATTAATAGCACATTAGACACTACAGAAAAAACAATAAGTGAATTTATTGAAATTACACAAAATAAAGCCCAGAGAAAAAAACTAAAAATGTATTGAGCAGTACATCAGTGTGCCATGAGCAACTTCAACAGCCTAATAAACATGTAATTAGTATCTCCATAAAAGGGATAAATAGGAGGAAGTTTAAAAATATTTGAAGAAATTATTGCCAAAAAATTTTTCAAATTTGTTGAGAAATATAACACAAATATTCACAGACTCATGAACTCCAAGAACAAGAAACACAGAAATACATGAAGATGCATCATAATCAGTTATTAAGAACCAAGCCAGGCATGAGGGCATGTACCTGTAGTCCCAGCTACTCAGAAGTTGGAGGTGGGAAGATCGCTTGCACCCAGGAGTTCTGGGCTATAGTGCATTATGCCAATCAAGTGTCCACACTAACTTCAGCATCAGTATGGTACCTCTCAGGAGCAGGGGACCACCAGAGGAGTGAACCAGCCAAGGTCAAAAATGGAGAAGGTCAAACCTCTTGTTCTCATCAGTAATGGAATCACCCCTGTGCATAGCCACTCACTCTAGCCTGGCAAACATAACCTGTCTCAAAAATAAAATAAAATAATAATAACAATAAAGAGAAAACATTAAAACATCCAAAGGGGTAGGAAAAATACATCATATACACAGGAATAAAGAAAAAAGTGGCAGAAGATTTGGAAATAATCCATGCCAGAAGATATTTGATCAGCAAAGAATTGAAGAATACTGTACTTACCTGGCAGGAGAGATACCATGATCATGAAGATGGTTTTACCTGAGCAAGTCTTATCCATTGCCCTCTGGATGTGCTGAGCCCTGCAATTTCACCAAATGTGGGAAACTTGATTGCATAATTTGTGGTAGTGGGGGGTTGCATTTGCACTTTACCCTGGGTGGGGGGTGGGGCGAAGAAGAACACTAGAAATGGTAAATAAGAGGGTAAAAATAAAATACATTTTTTCTTATTTTGAGTCTCTTTAAAAAATAATTGGCTGTTTAAAACAGATTGTTTAAAAATGGTATATAATGGAGTTCATGGGGTTGTATAAATAAAATGCATAACAGCAATAGCACAAAGGCTCATGGGTGGTAGCAGTGGGGGCAGTGGTGAAAGGAATTTTACTGTACCTGTACTGTACCTGAAGTGGTATCATATTACTAGGAGGTGGATTATGATAAGCTAAAGATATATACTATGAGTCTAAAGATATAGATATGTATACTATATGTATATCTTTAGATATATACTCTATACTATAATGATACATACTATAATGATACATACTATAAAGATATATACTAAAGATACAGATAAAGATGATTTTTCAGAGCATCAATATTTATAGTAGCCAAAGAATGGAAAGAATTAAGATATTCATCAATTGATTACTGAATAAACAAAAGGTGATATATCTAAACAATGGAATATTAGTCACAAAAAAGAATGAAGTACTGATACATACTGCAATATGGATAAACCTTGAAAACATTATGCTAAGTGAAAGAAACCAGACAGAAAAAGACATGTCTTGAGTGAATTAATTTATATAAAATGTCCAGAATAGGCAAATCCCTAGAGACGAAAATCAGATTACAGGTTTCCAAAACCTGTAAGGGAAAAGGGAGATAAAGCGTTTTAAATATTCTAGGACAGTCTTTTCTAACTTCAGATCTATGCCATTATTTCTTAAGAAACTTTTTCTAACCACTAATTTTAAGGCACAGATCTTAAGCAAAAAAAGTTTAACTGATAGGTTCAAATGGAAGATTACCTAAAGCTTCTTATGAGTGAGAATGAGAATTTGAGCCCTAGAATGATGGTATGGAAATAGCAAAATAAAATAAAATACAAAAAAGCAAATTACAGAAAAATGCATACAGCCCACCAATTCTGAAAATGGAACACAATATCAGGCAATATCATACATTGTTAATGAACACATTTGAATGCATGTGGAAGTATAAAAATTGAATTAGTAGGATACACATCAGACTCATGGAAGTGGAGAACAGGACTAGAAAAGGTGGTCAGATAGAATTTTAACTTTTCTATTTATTTATTTTGTTTAAAAATGGACAAAGCAAAATACATCTTTCAGGGTGTATACTCACATAATCCTCACAGCAATCCTATGAGGTGGTACTATTATTAGCCCATATGAGAGATGAGACAGAAACCAGCAGAGTGAATGAAGAGCATAGGAACACACCTGGGTTACACAGCCAGTGATGACAAGCCTGAAGGCTGCTCCCAGATTTAGACTGATTCTTACTTTATTTTGAAATATTATTTATTTTATCTTGAAGACATTTTCTATAAAAGAAAGCAGGAAAATGGTACAGTAACTGAAGGGATTGGTGCGAAGAATGGTGTGTTTTTTGTTTGTTGCTTGTTTTGAAACAGTGGAGCATGCAGTATGTTTTAAAGCTAATGGAAATGATCCTTAAGAACAGCAGAAAGTGGCTGGGTGCAGTGGCTTATACCTGTAATCCCAGCACTTTGGGAGGCCAAGGCAGGTGGATCACTTGAGGTTAGGAGTTCGAGATCAACCAACATGGTGAAACCCCATCTCTACTAAAAATACAAAAATTAGCTGGGCATGGTGGTACATACTTGTAATCCCAGCTACTAGAGAGGCTGAGGCAGGATAATTGCTTCAACCTCAGAGGTGGAGGTTGCAGTGAGCTGAGATCATGACGCTGCACTCCAGTCTGGGTGACAGAGGGAGAATCCATCTCAAAAAAAAAANAAAAAAAAAAAAAAAAAAAAAAAAAAAAAAAAAAAAAAAAAAGAAAAAAAGAAAAAAAGATGGCACTGGAGAGGGAGGGGACAATTTCAGGAGCAAAATCCTTAGGGGGAGATGGGATGCAGTACCCCAGAGGAAAAGGTATCTTAGAAGGAAAAACACTGGGAGACCTTCCATTTAACAGGTAGAAGATGGGAAACTATAATTTTCTACAGACAGGAAAGTAGGTTTTCAGATGGACAATGTGAAACAGAAAGTAAAGTTTTCAGCTTACTATGAGGATAGAGGACATTGGACTGGGCTTTTGAAGAGATGGAAGAGATAAGAAATGTAGTTAGGGATGGAGACAGAGAAGAATTAGCAGGCTAAGGAAATGTAAGCAGATTAATAGGAAGTTCTGAAGGCCCACTAGAATTTTTAGTTACAAATTTTAAAATAAGACAAGTCAGCATAATGGAATGTTTTTCTCCTGCCATGATCAGCTGTGTGGATGCTGGTATTGAACATGTCAATTGTTGAATTTAGTCAGGTTAGGCAAAGCAATTATTCAAGAGTACAAACGAGTGTTAAATTTTGAAATATTAATCAATGTTTGCCAGCTGGACTGAAGAGAAGATTCAGTTAGATGGGACCAAATATGCAAAGCTATGAAAGAGTGGAATGTTATAGCATGTTCAGAAAACTACATGTAGGTCCATGTTGTTGGAGGAAAAAATTAACATGCAGGAAGGGTGTCAGGAGACAATACTACAGATACCAGTGGCCTAGTGTTTTCTGCTGGCAGGTAAATCTACTAAAATATGAGATAGAAAAAGGATTGCACTGTCATATATGGTAAGAGTATTGAAATTTACAACACAGAACTATTGAAGGTTTTTAATTAGAAGGATCATGTGGTTAGTTTTGTATTGTAGAGAGATTATTACCCTGGCAGCAGTGCAGCTATGTAAAGTCTATACTGGAGTTGTTAAAGATTAGACATGTGGATACTGTGGTAAGCAAAGTAATGGCCCTTCAAGGATATCAAAGCTCCTTCAAGGATATCAATGGCCCTTAAGGTTCCTAATACCTGGAACCTGGGCATGAGTTACTACATGTGGCCAAAGGGATTTTGCATATGTGATTAAGTTAAGGATCTTGGGATGGGTGGATTACCTGGGCAGGCCTAGTGTAGTATGGTTTTATATCAGATAGAAAAAGGATTGCAGTGTCATATATGGTAAGAGTATATAAGTCATTAATTTTGGGGATTTATTTATTTTCATACAAAAAAAATGGTATTGCAACTGGGATACTATTTTAATAGAATACTAAAATATGTGTCATGGTTGAGTAGATAAAATTGATGTAAGATGTTGGAAAGATGGAGAGTTGTGCTATGCAGTGGCAATAAACTTGAAAAATCTTGGCTGACAATAATAAAGAGGTACTTGCCAAACTTGTAGCTCTAAGTTAGAATGTTTGTGTTAGCTTGTTACTGGCCATATTTAGCAAGTTATTCAAAGAAAGGTGAGCTTAGACATGAATTGATGCATGTGCAAGCAAAAATGAAAGAAAATAGACAGAATCCAGCTATTTGGGATTTCTCACAATTGGAAAATCCACATGATTCTAGAACTTAAACATGTATAGATAAAATTGAATAAAGTTGAACAAAAAGAAATCCTTTACCCTTCTCAATTAAACAGACTGACTAGGTTCTGGAACAAAATTTAGATTAAGCGTATTTCCTTCCCGCCTAAACCTACTGTTTCAAATAAATTTAAGATAAGCACTTTTAAGTTAAGAGAAAGGCATGGTGCAAGAAAGTGAAGAAATAAAGCAGGCCTGAGAATGATATCTGGGTTAAAACTGTAAAGTTTTGGCATATGTAACTGCCTGGAAACAACAAGAAGAGGAACCTACTACATTTTTAAAGGAGTTAAATTGCCAAAGAGCCCACAATTCTGAGCAAAAATGCAGTTGAATCTTTAAGCATTATCCTCAAATCCCACAGCTCGAACAAACAAAAACCTCAACAGAACCAAAGGGCATTGTCTAATGCTCACTCCACATATGGCCATGGAGGACACTGAGCAAGAAAGAACCACCTAGGTGTGAAGCCAGGGTCACAGAGAACAATGGGCTACTGGATTCCCACCACAGAGCTAGTTCAATATCTAATCAAGAATAATTTCAACTTTGCCAAGAACTGATGACTACTGTGTGACTCTCATTCTCCCCCTCCATCATTGTATTTCCCAAATGTCACCAGATAACTAGTTAATAAAGCAAAACTAAAATGTTTAAAACTTACTGCAGTAAGAGAAAATGTCATCTTGATGGAGGCTTAGCAGTGTCTCAGAAGGGAGAAGTCAGAAGTGGAATATTTCTAGGGTTTCAGAGTCTGGGATCCATTGCTTTAAGGCAAGGTCAAGGTGGAGAACCATTTGAGACAGGGCAAAGTACTATGTGACATAATAGTTTAGGAATGGCTGACGCAATTGAAAGAAAGGTCTTCAACCAAAGACTTTATAAGTAAGTTGTTTGTTTTTATAAGCGAGTCATTTACCCAAGTGAGCAGACTATTGTGTTTGGGGAAAAAATGATCTGTGGAAATTTCCTGAGGCAAACAACAAACTGAAGTTGTTTCTTGATTTACAGACTTGTCTTTCCTAGTCAAAATTTTGCTGGAACAAGCAACCAATTGTGGTTTGCAATATTTACCTAAATCATATTGACATATAAAGTGTTAATTCTCATTCTTCTGGCTCTCCTGTTCTTGTCCATCCATGACAGGGGGTCAGAGGTGCCTTTTAATTCAAATATTGCCAACTTGTGAGGAGGCACATTCAAGCCTGGAGGAGAGAACTGTCCATGACCTAGAAATCTAGGATTTTTAAGATGTAGCAATTGGAGGGACCATCTTATATAATCCAGTCTTACATGGCTCCTTGGAAAGAAAGAAGCTATACTGTGTTTAGAAAGAAGTTTGCACTCAAATATTGGCTGCCCAGTTGAGTGGACATGTAAGAAACACTTCATGGTTCACTTACATGGTGGACTATGGAAGATCACTAAAACTGTGTGCCTCCCTTCTGTTGAAAAGAATTATCACTAAGAATCAGCCGCCCACCCAGAGACCATGTTTCTCAGCTTTCTGTGT